TTCATGTTAGACTTTGAACTCCTTTTCTACCTCCAGGATGGTTCATATCATGAAGATGTGGGCTATGGTGTTAGTGAGGGCCTCAAGTCAAAAGCCTTGTCTTTGGAGAAGGCAAGGAAGGAGGCAGTGACAGATGGGCTGAAGCGAGCACTAAGGTAAGCAAAAAGGGTTGGAGTCTAACCACTTCATTTCAGTGCCTTTTTCAAAGCAGTTTTGTTCTTTTTGAAAAGGTAGTATATTCACACTAGAGGGTCAGTACACAAAATTCATGCACAGGTAGGGTCCTTAGTGGCTTCTGGCTGCCAGCCGGGGCCTCCCTTTCCCCGGCTGCCAGCTGCTGGCTGGGGCCTCCCTTTGTTGCGTGCCACCCTCTGGTGGTCAGCACACGTCATAGTGGTTGGTCAAACTCCCGAGGGGACACTTTGCCTATTAGGCTTTTATATATATAGATTGTACAAAAATCAAAATACGTAGGTCTCACTCCCTGTCTGCCCTGCTTTTCTATTCTTCTTTGTATTTTCCCAGTGCTATTTTATGCTTAAGTCTCTGCTTCTGAGAATAAGTAGTAGATTACTATGTTCTCTGTTTTGTACTTGATTTTGTACTTGCTTCTCCTCCACTCAGTAAGGTATTTGGGAACCTTTCCACATGGGTACATAGATAGTTTCCTCATTCTCTTTAACACAGCTAAACACCTCTTCACTGTGTATACATCACTTAGTTAATTAATTATTTAATTTAAATCTTCAAGGATATTTTTTTTCGTGTTAAAAATGCAAGGGAGGAAGGAGGAGGAGGGGAGAGAGAGTGCAAGGGAGGAAGGAGGAGGAGGAGGGGGGAGAGAGAGAGAGAGAGAGAGAGAGAAACATCGGCTTGAGACACATTGATTAATTGCCTCCCACATGTGCCCCAACTGAGGTATGTGCCCTTGACAGGGAATCGAACCCTCAACCCTTCTGTCCGTGGGCTGGTGCTCTAACCACTGAGCAACTGGCCAGAGCTCACTTAGTTAACTTAGTTATTAACCTTTTTTGGTTATAGATACCTTTGAAATTTAAAGTGTATTGGATCACCAGAAAAGTACATGTATAAACATTCACTAAAAATTTGCAATACCATAGCCTGTAAGGGAGTGTGTACTAGTATATCCTGAGTAAAGAACTTTAATGGAGGATTGAGCCCCTAAGGGGGTGTGTCCCATTATTGGGGAATTGGAGCAGTCCTGGGGGATAAAACATCTCTGCTCTGGAATTTGCACTCCATGCCAGGAGGTAGCTAATGGGGCTTTGTGAATGGTGTCTGAGTCTTCTTATTCATTGCCTCTCATTGAGGACAGGGATTTGTGACTGTTATGCCTCCTGCTGTATTCTCACAACCTAACACTGTGCAGGAACATGGCAGGTGCTCAATAACCAGTTTTAAAGGCATATTAGGATCTATTTTTTCGGCTGCCGTTGAGAAGCAGCTTGCACAGAGTTGTAACTCTGTTCTCTGATACTTACATATAACAGTTCTCACCCCTGTTTCCCTTTTTATTTCTTTCTTTTAGAAGCTTTGGGAATGCACTTGGAAATTGTATTCTGGACAAAGACTATCTGAGGTCACTGAATAAACTTCCACGCCAGGTATGTTAGAAATGGATGAATGGAATGCATTGCAGTAACGATATAACTAATTCCCTTGTGTCATGGGTTGAGTATGACACAGCTCTAGAGGGTCTGGAATGTTTATTTTGGACTCTGACTATCAGAGCTTATAAGAATCAGTCCCCTTTTTTCACAGCTGAAGAAATTGAAGTCTAGAGAATGTTATTTCTGTCTTTTACATAGAGAACTGTGGTTGGCAGTGGTCTGTGAAATCTTAAAAGAGCACATAACCCTCAGCTGCACCACTGTCATTTCTCAGAAGCACTCAGAGCCTCCCCTGTGCAACCTTCTTGCTTTTTATTAGTCTTGGTGTCAGGGTCAGATCTCCCTTGTTTCTGTCAATGCCTATCCCCTGATCTGAGCATTGGCCTTTGAAGAATTGGGTCTGGAGTGTCCCTGTGGCTGTTCCTCTGTGGCATTCTCTGAGGTCCCTGCAGTGCTGCCACCTGGGGCAGCATTCTCTTAGGTACTTTTTCTTGTGGAACCCCTAATAGAGGTGTGTGTCAATTGGCATCTGTCAAAACTCCATTTATTTTCTTTTTAAAAAATTCTTTTTATATATTATTATATATGTACTCAGTTTGCTAATATTTTGCTATGGATTTTTGCATCTATGTTTACAACAGATAATTGTCATAGTTTTTCTTTTCTTTTTTTCTTTATAGTAAAAAACATAATAAAATTTACAATTTTAACCATTTTTAAGTGTACAGCTCAGTAGTGAAACAGATCTCTAGAACTTTTTTATCGTGTATTACTGACACTCACTACCCATAAAACCCTTTTCCCTTTCTTCCAGTACCTGATAGCCACCATTCTACCCTCTGTTTCTATGAATTTGACTACTTTAGATGTCTCCTAAAGTGGTAACATACAGTTTTTGTTCATTTGTGACTGGTTTATTTCATTTAGCATGATGACCTCAAGGTTCCATCTATGTTGTAGCTTGTGTCAGAATTTCCTTCCTTTTATTTATTTATTTATTTATTTTTTATTGCTTAAAGTATTACAAAGAGTATTACATATGTCTCCTTCCCCCCGCCCCCCTTGACAATCCACGGCCTTTCTGCCCTCTAGTGTCTTTTTTCCATTGGTTATTCTTATATGCATGCATATAATTCCTTTGGTTGATCTCTCCCCCTTACCCCCACCCTCCCTTACCTTCCCTCTGAGGTTTGATGGTCTGATCGATGCTTCTCTGTCTCTGTCTCTGTTTTTGTTCATCAGTTTATGTTGTTCATTATAATCCACAAATGAGTGAGATCATGTGATATTTATCTTTCTCTGACTGACTTATTACACTTAGCATAATACCCTACAGGTTCACCCATGCTATTGCAAATGGTAAAATTTCATTTTTTATGCCAAGTAATATTCCATTGTATGTATGTACCAAAGCTTTTTGCCCAAGTTTCGAACTGGGTTGTACCATCTCTAGCTGGTTATTGAGTATGACAGAAGACAAATATTCTTTTCCTCCAGTTCTCCCTTCTATTCCAGAAGCACCGTGAAGGTCTGATTTGGGGACATGGTTGGCTAAAAACTACAAGTGCTTAGTAAAATTAGT